CACTTGTATGCGCCGCAGCGGTACCGTCACATCTCGTGTATCATTAGTTCTTGTCGGTGTTCGTCCTGTCGTCGGTTCTTGGCCTTCAGCGGCAGAGACGTAGCTCACCCCGCTGCCGCCGCTTGACCCACTGTCTGTCCTCTGTCGTCTCGGTATGTTCAGTAATTTCGTGTCGTTTTTTCATATCTTTCTCCCCATTCCCGTGCACAAAGTACGGCCCTCAAAATCCGTGCTGCTGCCCGTGACCACCGGGGCTTTCACCCGATCGGAACCCGGGGTGGATTCCTCCTGAGAAGGAGTTACCACTTGAGGTACATCAATGTTTTCATTGTGCATATTCATATTGTTGGTTTTGTCCCATTGTGCTGAAGGTCCCTCGTGGTCGCGACTCCACGAACCGCGCTGGGACAACGCACGGCCCCTGAGGTCCCCCCCCTGTATGTATACCCTGTGTGTTCAGTGTTCCCTCCTGTGGTGTGTGCGTGTATGTGAGTGCCCATAGGCGAAACCGGGCTTCATTCACGGGGAGAGCCCTTTTAGAGATATCCCCTTCTCTCGCTTTCGGGCGACTTCGTTTATAGGAGTCCCCGACCATTCGCTTTTCGGTAAGACCCGTTTATAGGGTCACCGAGCATTCACTTCTCCGGTTTGCCAGAAGGCGTGTGTGTGTGAGTGTTTGCGTAGCGTGTGTGTGTGTGTATGTGTATAAGTGATTAATGGTTGGACACATCGGCAGAATACCATTATCTTTTGCGTCATTTGTGAGCCATATCTTCCTCTTGGCCGTGTCCGTTATAGCGTTGCTACTCAGAGCATTGACGCGACGGACAACGTTTCCACCGGGCACGTCGTGGACGTTGGAAGCTAGCATTTGCCCAGTGAGATGTTACCACTCACTGGACCAGCCCGGCATAAGTATAAATATTATTATTATTGTTATAAATATTATTACTAGTATAAGTATTATTTTTCTATAATACGGATATAATCATATCACAATAAGATTTATAATTGAATTTATATTCATATTCATGATATTAATTATGTTAAGATATAAATGTTTTTTAAAAATATAAAAAAAGCTGAAAATAATTTTTTTTAATAATTTTATTAGCACATAAGTATTTAAACTGTTCAACTTTTAGACGAATTTATAAAATTTACAATACTATATTATTTTTTAAGAAATAATAAAAGTTTTATGAGCTTAAATAAAAATACATCGACGTTACTTCTTAATATAGTCCTTTGAAAAAATTTCTCCAAATAAATATAACTCCTAAACAAATTATATATAAAATGTATTTATAATCGAATACTTACGAAAAACATTCATATTTACTTCATATAATTTGAAAATCCCATTTTCTTTTTTTTTTAATAATTGTAAACTTGTGAGCTATATTTATATATTTCATAACTTCTTATCAGTTTTAAATCCAATTGACAAGTTTTTCACGCACATATTTTTCTCGTGTGATAATAGTATGAATGAAAATCAAGCAAAACTATTCTAAAGCAGGTTGTTTTTAATTAGAATTGTTGAATTGTAGTTGTAAAATTACAATTAAAGTGGTCTTGTTAATAAAAAATCTTACTTTAAAAATATATAACTAATAATCCCGTTTTTACATTATTAAAATTTAGGTGTTCGATTGTTTAATATTTTATGTTTGTACTTTATTGTTTAAATTTATAATAACGGGTTTGCAAATGGCTAAATGATAAATTTTTATACTTTTGTGTTTTTATTTATATTCTATCTACGTTTTTTTATTATTTTAGGAAACTGTACCTGAGACTGCTCGTTTACTTTTTAATCGCTTATTATACAAAAAACGAACAAATAAAGCTTTTCCAGATGCTCTTAAAAAGTTTGCAACAACCTTGCAATTTTACTCGGCCAAAGCGTACAACTATGTGCGCAATTCTTTTTTAAAAAATTTACCTCACCCGGTTACTGTTCAAAAAGTGGCATAAAAATATTGAATGTACATCTGGAATTAATTGTTCTAGTATAAAAGCGATTAAAAGTAAAGTTGACATGAGCAAAAAGAAGAATCCTGAGAAACCTATTTTGTTAAATTTAACATTAGATGAAATGAAAATTAAGAAGGCGATTGAATTAATGAATGGAAAGGAATATGGGTATATCGATATCGGTAAAGGTATACTATAGATGATAACGAAATTCCTGCAGCGGAGAATGTGCTCGTAGTGATGACAGTTTGTGAAAATGGTAATTGGAAAGTCCCCGTTTCATTTTACTTCTGCAACTCGCTAACTGGAAAAGAAAAAGCCGAAATTGTCAATAACAGTTTGATTGCTTTGCATGACTCTGGTGCTACGGTTACGTCTGTGACTTTCGATGGACTTCAGTGTAACTTCACAATGTGCAAAATATTAGGTGCAAAGTTATTAGTGCATAAAGATCTAATCGTTAACTTTTTCTTTCATCCTGTTATAAATAAAAAAGTGTTTATAGTTAGCGATGCATGTCATGCTTTAAAATTGATTCGTAACACCATTGCAACTGAAGATTTATATGATGCGGATGATAATGTCATTAGTTGGTCACATATAGAGGCTTTAGTTGATTTTCAAGATGTCAATGGTCTTAAAATAAGTAAAATGACCAAGGAGCACTAACAATGGGAAAGTTGCAAAATGAATGTGCGAGTAGCAGCACAGACATTGAACAAAAGCACAAGCGATGGACTCAAATACTGTAAAGATACATTAAAACTATCCGAATTCCAAAATGTTGAAGGAACTGTAAAATGTTCATCAAATGTTGATGAAGGTTTTAATATTTTGAATTCTCGGGAATTATATCCTACAGATCCGTCGAAAGCTGCAATTTCAAAAGACAACGTGGACAGTATTACTAAAACAGCAAAAAATATTACCGCTTACTTAAAAGCACTAAAATTAAAAGACGGTAGTCCTGTGATAAATTGTAAAAAAAAGACTGGGTTTATCGGCATGATTATTTCACTGCAAAGTGTTATTGACATTTACAATGAATACTACGAGAATCACAGTGGTTTTCTTTTGACTTATAAATTGTCGCAGGATCACTTAGAGGTGTATTTCAGTGCTGTAAGAACCAGAGGTGGTCACAGCAACAATCCTACAGCCTATCAATTTATGGATATAATGAAAAAATTATTAATGCACGCGGATATTAAAGGCTCTGATAAAGCTAACTACATACTTTTAGATGGCTCTACAATATTACAAGTATATGAATCGCCTCGATGTATTCAACGGTCAGTAGAAATTCAACCTTTGTCAGCGAACTATGATGAATATGTAGATTTTCATTTAAATATTGCGGATGGACAATTGATTCAAAGTGATGATTTTTACGGCGTTAACACTAATCTTAAATATATCAATGATGTAGTTACTTACATAGCAGGTGCTGTGTTAAGGTCGTTACTAAAAAAATGCAAATGTTGCATTTGCCCAGTATTATTGACGCTCGATGTGAAAGAACCAAGCGAATCCGACATTTTAAATATAAAGAATCGTGGAGGCTTATGCAAACCTTCCACAGGAGTCGTGTCAGTTTGTAAAATTGCAGAAAAAATATTTAGAGAACTGTATAGGTCAAGGCGAGAAATTTATAAAAATTTAATTAACATAACTTTGCAAAAAATACCAGAAAGTGTTTTAGAGATACATCATTCAAACGATCCCGAATCACATAGATTTGTTTTAATAAAAAAAATCTTAGAAATTTATTTTTTGATAAGAATTAAATACTATGAAAAAACTAAATTATCCTCTATAAAAAAAGTCCGGCACACCTATACAAAATTAATTCTTTTCAAAAATCAATAGAAAAAAATATTTCAATCGCGTTTCCTCATAAGTAAAATTTTAACAAATCGAAATTTTATACACTTAATTATAAAAATATAAAGCTTGTCAAATGGGATAAATTTGAATATTTTAAATTCAAATAAAAATAAAAATGTAAATATATGATATAGTTTGTTACAGCTATTATTAAAAATATGTACAAAATGTGCATATAAAAATGCATATACATATACTAATTTTATAAAAAGTATTTCACTGTACTCGTACTGATTTAACGTGCATTCTAATTTAATTTTAAAAAATTATTATCAAACAGCGTATGATTCTTTTAAGTAAATCTTTATAATAAATAGTATAATGAATTAATTTCACATTCAGTTAAAGTTTAATTCAAATGTAACAACTTAAGTATGTACAATTTATAAGAATGTAATATTTCCTCAGATTTATAATCAATAAATAATTCGTTGATATTTTAAAATAATTGTTTTTTAATAATTAACATAAACATTTTTAATCTTTTCTTGAAATCGTGAAGCTAATATTTTTTCATGGGGATTCGAAGTATCTGACTGATAGTTCGTTAAAATGCAAAGTCATTCTAGTTTGACAAAAAGATTCTTTTTATTTTATTATTTATTTATATAAATTTATAGATTATTTCACATCTCATTATTATTTTACATCTCGAGTAAATAAATATATAAAAAATTAAGTAAATTTAATCTTGAATAAAACTAGTTGACAATTCATTATTTTAATTATTATAAATAAACGAACCACAAGCTTCCCTAAAAGACGACGGAAGAAATGATTAAAAATACTTTAAACAATTCAATGACTTATTTTTATAGAATTTTATTTATTTATTTATATGCAAGAATAATAAAAATGTTTTGACGTATGTGTATACCTATCGAGTTATTATTATTATTATTCTCTAATAAAAAAAATGTAAATAAAAAAGTTTTCTATAAGATTTGAACCGGCAAACTACATTGTGTTGGGTTTAAAACAGCTGTTAACCTATAACTAAAGAGACAGAAAAGGGTATAACATTCTCTTTCTCTCTCGCACTGGCTTGAAAAACGGTCACACTTTTTTTACACAGCGGGGTGCCTCCATGTATATATGCTCTAAGGCAGAGCCCCACATCAGTCAGAGACCCACTGCCATCTAGTAAAGTAAAGTAAAGTCAGTTGATGGCCGTATGGAAAGTGGCTTTACCTTAAGCCCCACTGGTGCCAATAAAACAAAACAAAACAGAACAGAATACTCTACACGTTACAAGTATGTAAACATACTAGATTTTATTTAATTAGCTACTTATTATTTGAAATTTCTCTTTTGATTTTGTGTACAGATGCTCAAGTAGTTGAAAATGACTAGTCCTGTAGAAGTTGTAGCGGTAAGCAATGATTTATTAGCTTTAATGAAATTAATTTAAACTATAGCGTTTGAGGTTACTATTAGAGATTTTATTACATTAATGTCTAATATTAATATTACTCTAATATTATAGATGTAGCAGTTTTCAACGCTCTTTTAATGTTCTTTTAATAAATCAATCAATTCCACTTGTTAAAATTTGTTTTTTTATAAGTAAATAATTAATTACACTGAAAAAACCTTGTTACAGGGTAGAGTCCAAGCTTATTTAAATCAGCCACTTGTTCCGAGATGCAGAGAACTTTCTAGGCTTATGGATGAATTAAGTACAGCAGAGTTGCAGCATATTTTTCCACTACTCATACATTCTTTATTTGGAGTATCAGATAATGTAGGATGGGGTCTGCATAATGTAACTCTTAAAAGAAATCCTCAGGAATATGAAGTTCTTTGTAATTTTTTAAGCCCTCAAGGACCAATTTTTTCTCTTTGTTACAAGTTACTTCCAGATTGCTATCTGAAATATAATTTTCCAGTATCATATTTACCAGTAAGTTTAAATATGTCTTTCAAATATTAGCATTTCAATTGAAAGTAATATTCATATATCTTAAAGTATATTATGATTTAAGTCATGCTATTTAGTTTATCTATTTTAGTTTATTGAAACTTAGTGATAGTGTAGAGAAGACTGGAAAAAAATATTATATATAATAATGTAATATATATAATATATAATATATAATATATAATATATATAATATATAATATATATAATATATTATATATATAATATAATATATATGATATGTATAATATATATAATGATCATTAACAGTTAAATTCTTGAAAATGTTCATTGTAATGTAAATGTAACATAAATAAGATAATTAGTGTAGATAATATAAAATTCCCTTTAATTTTTCACATTACTTAATTGTACTTTAGTTTTGAATTTGTTAAATTAACTGATGTGTTCAATTGCTAATTGCAGTCAAAGATTCGCCATATGTTAGAAGAAGGACTCATTCCTCCATTTTATTTGGATAAACTCAAAGATGATCATGTTGCTCGTTTATCTACTGTTCTAGTTATGAGTATCCTTTTTGAAAAACTTTATACAATTAAGTCAGTGAACTAATTTTGAATAATAAATATTTTCCTTAATACGCTGTATATCCCTTTGAGTATTACATTTTTCATTTTGCATACCACCTTACAAATCCATGGTTGCAAATCCAACAACAAGACAATGCATGGATGAATTGGGAAACTGTATATGTTGAACTGGCCAATTGTTATCTTTTCCATTTTTTGCCAAGAGATAATTCACCAGTCTTACCGATTATTGGACCATATGTAAAAAAGACTCCACCTAGAAAATTGATGCAATCTCCTGAAACTAAAAGGTATTTGATAAAAATATATTTTAAAAATATTTTATTAACCCAAAAAATAAAATATTTATTTTTTGTTTAACTCTCATATGATATCTAGACTACAAACTCCACGGCTTTTAAGAGCAACAATATTATCTTCTAATTCGATGAATCCTAATTCAGGGATTCCTCAGCAACAATGTTTACCACAAGTATGGCGAAGTGAAACAATAATTCATGTTTTCCTTGACTTTTGGCTGGAATATACAGAAGAAGAACAGTTTTCTCCCAATCGAAGTCCACAAATCACTGGATCTCTTCCTCGAAGGGTAATAGCAAAGTTTTTATAAAATTGAATATTTTTACTGAATATTTGACTAAATCACTGGTAATATAAACTGAAATAAAATATTGTAGCATAGTATACATTCTGGTGAACACATTCGCCTTGTAAGAACTTTCATTAAAACTTTACATAAGTTTGCAAATGGTTATACAGGTGATAAAAGTGCTATGGATGAATTAAAAAGGTAAAATTGATTATTATTTTTCTTACCACAACTATTTATTACCAACTTGATTCATTCATATTTAATTAATAGGCTATATAAATTTTGATAATAATATCTTATATTGATTTACTTTTAATTTCTAGAGTAATTCTTCCTTCTGTACAAGGAAAAATTTATACTTTCTTAAGAAAAGCCATTTATCATTGGCCACTCGACAGCTCTTTTAGATTGATTTTAGAAGCTTGGTTGAGTTTTATACAGCCTTGGAGATATGATCAAGTAATTCCTTATACAAAGTAAATATATTTTGGTTTTACAGAGGTCACATTTTTATAAATATGTGTAAGCTGATTATTTTTCTTTAGAAAAATTGAGGATGAAGAACGGGGAAAAATCCACGATATAGCCAGGTGGACACCTTTTATATCTAACAATTTATTAGCTTATACAGCGATTTTTCAACAACTTTTACCACGATTTATGAGAACAGATCTCGTTGCTCCTAAAAATGCTCATATGTTGTACAGAGTTACAAAGGTAGCGCTCTGCAAAATTTTCTATAAAAATTTCTTCTCAGCAAAAATTAAATTTTGATCTTTATTATATTTTTCCAAAGGTGTTTTCCCAGCCACATATTGCAAAAATATTATTAGAAGTTGAAAGTTGCATTGATGATTTTGCGTGTACACGAAATCGTCAAACTAGTCAGTGGACTGGAATAGTTCGACAACAAATTCTTGAGTTAGAAGGACCATCTTACCAATATGTTCCCATGTTTTCTCCAACAACTGTCTCTCAAGTAATGTTTTATTTACTTTATTGAATGTTTCATTTACTTCTAACTATTAATTCTGCATTAATAAAACTAACTTTAAGTATTATCTTTCACGTTTAGGTAATATCTTTTTTTAGTACAATCAAGCAAGCACATTTAACAGCAACTAGTCTAGTAGAAGCGTTAGAAAAAAGGAAGACTAGAAGAAGATTTATTATGATGCTTTGGGAATTTTTCAATGGTGACGATTCTTCTTCAGATGACATTAGTCTAGAAGAAAGAAAAAGAGTACCAGTTTTCCTAGCCAATGTTCAGCAACAGTTGGTAGACATATTTCAGGTAGGTCAGGTATTAACACACTAACAATTTTTTTCAAAGCATTCAAATACTACAAATTCCTATTTTAAATAATTATTATTTGTTGTAGATAAATGTCGATAATGTACCTCATTCCACCGTGGTAGCAGATCAAGAATATCATGAAAGTATTTTGTCGACATCATTTTGCAATCAGTCTCAAGTAAGTTATTTATTAATTTATTTTTAAATAAGTTATTTTGTTAATTTATCAAATAAATTACTTGCGAGTAAGTTTCACAAGTCTACATTCTCAACTTTTCAGTTCTCAGTTTCTATTTGTTATTATATATCAGAAACTTTAAAGTAATTCAATTGAATCATCTTTTATTATGCATTAAAATGCGATTCTGTCAAAACTTAAACAATATTTTGATAAAATGATATTATTAAATTTGTATTTACTGTTTTCAAAAGATGGATCTGAGTTTGGACTCGAGTAGGCCAGGAGTTTTCGTACCTATTCAAGACGGTCGACAAAACTGTCGATACATTGAGTATATGGGGGATCCTGAATTGCAACCAATTCGAAGTTATGAAAATGCCTTATTAGTTAGATTGTTTTATAAGTTATGCAACTACTTTAATACTAAGGTATCATTTTAATATCAATTTTTTTTATTATATATGATTTTTATTCTAATCGAATTAAGAACTACGCGTTTTGTACATTTTTAATTATTGAATTAATGTCTCACTAAAAAAATGTTCATGATTACAGTACCAGCGGGAGATGGCAGAAATATATAGCAGAAGAGATTTTTTGGGAAAAATTACACGACAAATCTTAAAGCCTCCGACCAAGGTTGTGCAATTACCAAAACGCACGTCGAACGGATTTTCATCTGGATATGAGAAACGATTGCCTCCGCATATAAGTCTTCGTTCCGCTGCAAGTTACCGTTTGATGTCAGCGTTAGCTTTTGGAATATTTGTTTTTTGGCTTATTGGGTAGGTAATATTTTCTATTTTTCTATATTTTTAATTTCATATTTTTAATGGACATTAACATTTTTAGATATGGCATTTCCGCTTTTTTTGGTGTGTTATTTTTTGCTTTGCTATTCTATATATTGATCAAAGCCGTATGTGAACCGTGGATGCACAATCCAACGACTGTTAGCACAACAAGAAATCTATCACAAGCATTTCTTTTTCAATAAATGCTGTACATGAAGCTTTTTGATTTTCAAGACTTAATCGGCTTTTCCTCGAGGCTGACGGTGCTTTTATATTGTATTGTTTACAATAACTTGAACCATAAAAGTTGATCAAAAAAAATATTGTTATAGAACTATAACAAGAATGTTCATGTATATATTGATAATTATTATTGTATTTGAAAAGTGAAATTGCATCGCCGACTTTTCTAGTAAATTTATTTTGATAAAATGTAGTTTTGGAAAATATTATTTTGATCTTTTTTAGAGAAACAATTGATAGTTAGTTAACAATTACAGATGATAAAATATTAATTATATACAGAGATTAAAAAGTCAGGTGGTTTAATATTAAAGCGAAAAAGATGACTGATCCGAAAAATCCTTTTCTTTATTTTTGTAAATCACTGTTTGATAATAAAATCTTTGAAAGGAGATAAATTGTTGGTTGAACAACGGATATAGTTTTTTCCATTGATTACGTCATGATTGTCTCGTATCAATGTCTATACAGATATTTATGCTAACGAGATGCTCGTATGGATTGATCATAATTCATAAATTATGTCCATATGTTCGAGAGTTGTTATGGAAATGTAACTTACAAAATTGTAGAGTTGGATGATGAGACTGATACTGGCACCTAGGATGCAGTGCATCATAAAATCTACATGGAATAGTAGGAGGAAATGGACTGAATATAATGAGCAGTGTTAATGCTATACCGCAATTAATTCTTTAATAGTGATTGTGTATACTAATGGCAGAATGTATGTATAGAGTTGCAAGCAGCGTTAGTCAAGATACACTGAACCGCTCTGGGAACAACTTATAGAAGAAAGAAACTAAGCGAGCTCCGAAAAGTCCTCAGATGTAGCAAGAAGCACAAGAAAAACTTGACCGGCTGAATCGACACTACGATCAGGTCGGGAGCGTGCACGCCGACTCCAGCGCGCATGTGTGACTGCGCACACAGCTCTTGGCGCTAGCTCTTGCTTGCGCGGCTGGTGGTGCGATTGAGTGGTGCCTGCCGGCTGGTGACGAAGGCAGGCTGGACGGCAGGGGCGCCACAGCTACTCTCCCCCTGGAAGTTGCCGATTCTGGAGGCAAGTCTGGATTGGACTCAAGTGATAGGTTGGCCTGAGCTCCTTGAGTAGGTAGCGAGGGATGGACGTGGCGGACCGGTTGCAGAGTGGACTGCGACGCTTTGGGCACAGGCGTGCAAGTAGCCTGGGATTCCTGTGTAGGAAAGCAAACATAGCAAACCGATGGCGGTGCGAGCTGCGGCATGTCGTCGGTGACATAACCAGTGACCAGCTAGGCTGTAGAAATGGTAGCTGGCCTCCCATCCACATCGATGACGTAGCAACAATCGTCTAGTCGTCTGATGACTCGATGAGGACCAGAGTAGGGCCGGAGTCAGTGGAGGTTTGATTGCCGCCACCAGCTTGAAGACGTGCGTGTGCAAGAACGAAGATCCTGGTGCATGAAGACTCTGGACTTGATGTAATGTGCGGTTGGTACCGGCTGAATGGCTCGGAAATGAGTGTGAAGAGCATCAAGGAAGGAGCCGGGCGAAATGGGCCGGTCGTCCTTAAGGAAGAATCCCCTTGTCCTCAAAGCCGTGTTTTGTATTTTTTTAAGTTTGTTAAAGTTAGTGTCAGCACATGGGGACATTAAAAAACTGCAATATTCCAATCTGGATCTCACCAAAGATTGGTAGAGTAAAATTAGTGTACTTGGGTCGGCCCCCCACCAGGTTCTTCGTAAACAGCTAATTATTCGTGTTGCGAAAATGCCTTTCCTAGTTAAATAGGAAATATGTTTTTGCCAGTTCAGTTTCTGGTCAAGAACCATACCCAAGAATTTGATCTCGATAGTCGGGGAAATAATTTCACCTTCTATGTCTAATTGGATATTTTTGACGTTTATTTTATTTTTGTTAAATATGATTAACTCACACTTATGTAGTGCTAATTGAAGGCCTCTATTTTTGAGGAATTCTAAAACAGATTTGAGGTTTGACTTTAGTTTTTCGATGTCGATTACTAAATTGTCGCAGTGTTTGAATAAGACAATGTCGTCAGCAAATTCTAGGATTTATATATCTATACCAAGGATAGATTTAATGAGTCTGGTATAAATTGCATACAATATAGGACTCAACACGCTACCTTGAGGTTGGCCTTTGTCGACAAGATAGAGTTTTTTATCGTCTGGGTTTGTTACGGCGCAACATTTACCTAAATGCAAACCGTGCATTTAGGTGATAAAACGAACTCTCGCGCCTGCGCGCGCAAGTGTGTATGAATGGATGGTGGAAGCACCTGTTGGCTCGCGCGCGAACCGCGCCGAGCCGCGGGCTCGCTTCCGCCTCGACCGCCAGTAGTCGACTGCGACGCGACGAGTGCGGCAGCAGTTCTCCGACGCGACTCTTATGAGTACCCACGTACGGTAAAAATCTTGTCTTCGTTCTCTCGGACGCGAAACGACTGTACTCACGTACGGTCACCTGTACTTACGTACAAAAACCAAAACCTCCTGTACCCACGTACGGCCGTGCTTCCTTAGCACCTCAAAACTCGTCACTCACGTGGCAAAAGTGTGTGAAATTCAGCGAGCTCGTTGCGTGCGGTGTGGAGTGTGTGTGTGTGTGTGTTGGGCCACTCCCGTGGCGGCGTTTCGCGTTCGCGACCTCGCGCCTTTGTTCTCGCGCGATCAAGTTTTCTTCGCCCTTTTCTGTACCTTTCTTGTAATCCTTAGTGTGAGTGCTTTAATAAAAGGGTTTTTCTGCCTTTATGGCTTTTCCCTGTACGTTACGCATTAAATTTATTAACCTCGATTCATTTCTCGTGCGCATTCAAATAAAAATAAAATCACGAGATTATAAAAATTCAAAAAGCAAAAAATCAACGTAAACTCAACAAAGGAAATTTTAACTAAGCTGGCTTGGCGCTAACCAACCAGCACGCGACATTTCATGGTGCCTCCTGTGAGGCGGGAAATTCCATCTCTTTTTCTCTCTCAATTCGCATTCGCGGATATTCGTGACGTCGTGCGAGTGTAAAACCGGGAGTGAGTGTGTGTGTGCATCGGGACAAAGAAGAGCGTAAAAAACGCGCGCGAATTTGTCTCAACGCGCGCGAATTTGTCTCAACGCGCGCGCGATTTCTCTCGCTTCCCCCCTTTTTCTCCGAACGTCGGCGTTCGGCCAACCGCCAACAGCAGCGGCGAAGGAGAGAGGGACAACAACGGCGCCAGCGACAGCTTCGTCTCCCTCCGTCAACTCGCGCCAACCGTAGCGGCAGAGGAGAAGGAGTCAGCAGCGTCGACCAATGCCATCGCTCTCGTCGAGGGGGCCTCACGCACGCAGCCAGCCATCGGCGTCGCTCGAACGAGCATAAGATGAGTTTTCTTCTCTCTCTCAAGAGCGGTGCGCATTGAGTTGCGTCATTCAAATTTGCTCTGCGTGAATTCGCAATATACCTTTTATTTGCAACTGCAACTTGCGTAGCTCTTGTGAATTCGTCATTGACATTCCAAATAAATTTACTTGTTAAAAATATTGAAACACTATTCAGTAAATTGAACTTATTCTTCTAATCTAATAATTTATGCTTAATCAAACATTCAATTACTTAAAAATTTTATTTTTTACAGTAGAATCACTTTGGATTTAACATTTAAAATTTGTTTATAATTTATTTGTCCGAGTAAATTCTGTCAATTTGCTACTTGCTATTTTCTCTTACGCGTCTTCTTGCATAATAATTTAGTTTTTTTTTTCTCGATTCAATAAAAAACAATTGTGTTGGGGTTGCCTTGCTTAATTGCAAGAAAGTTGCTGAATTATTGGTCGGAAACGATTGTTCGCGTAAGGGAATCAAAAACATTTCTCGTGCTTTATTGCACACTAAACAAAATTATTCTGATTTTCGATCCACTTGATCTCTCCAGCACAGTTTTGAGTAAACTAGAATTTTGTTAGTATTTGATTTTCAAAGTTAAGATGGGTGATTTAGAAAAGCGCATAGAGCGCATTGCGCAGAAAAGCCTTGCGCTGGGAAGATCACTTGCATCATTGAAAACCTTCTTAGAAGGCGAAAACCCTGATGCGTTGAATGCTGACATACGAATGAAGCACATCTGTACGCTTTTCAATGAATACGTGAATAATCATGAAGAGCTGACCGCGTTGCAGGCAGATCATCCTCGTGTCGCTGCATACGCTCAGATCGAAAAAGATTATTACGATCTCGCGAGTAGAGTCCACAGGATGAAACCACCTCGTCCTCCTCCTCCCTTTGCGAACTCCACCGCTCTGGATAACACAGTGTCCATGCTTGTCGACAAGGTCAATGCGCCAAAGTTACCACCGATCGAAGTGCCAACCTTCGACGGCAGGCATGAGCACTGGCCTCGGTGGAAGGAGAGTTTCAAGGCGTTGGTCCACGATCGCTCGGATATAATCGCGTACGAGAAACACGCGCAACTGAAACGCGCGGTCAAGGGGGGTTTGGCTGAGACGGTCATCGCTGAGTACGTCATAAGCGAGGAAAACTATTCTCTCGCTTGGGACTTACTCTGCAGGGCTTACGATCAAAAACGCATTATCGTCACCGAACATCTAGACAAACTGTTGTCCTTACCCAAGATTACCGAAGCAAAACAAGCAACTTTAACGAGTTTGATGTAAACGATGCGTCAACACGTCAGTATGCTTAAGTCCTTGGGAGTCAATGTCGGCGAGGAAATGTTGATCCGCCTTCTCGAACACGCCTTGCCCTCTAGTGTCGTCACACGCTGGGTTGATCGTTTGTCAAGCGACAAAGTCGCCAAATTAGAAGACCTTTATACTTTCATTCAGGATACTACTTTCAAACTTCGTCAATTAGAAACGAACGCATCAGCTTCGCATGTGTCAAAAAAGAGGGCAGGAGAAACCACCGGACGCGGTCCGAATAAAACGCAGAAGGTAGATGCGCGTATCCTTACCACTACCACCGACACCGATGCGTCGAGTAACGCGTGTCTCAAATGCGGTCAATCACATCGCTTGTGCAAGTGCTCTGCGTTCAAAGAGCTCAACCTCAACGAAAAGTGCCGTTTCGTCAATCAGCATAAATTATGCAGAAACTGCCTTTACGTTCACCCCTCTGTTTGCGACAGTACCAAGAGATGTCGGGAACCAGGGTGCAATCAAGCGCATCACACTTTACTTCATCCTCATAAAAGATCCCAGAATGTGGTTTCTTCAAAACAAAAAACGACTTGACTAAATCCAGTTACAATACTTGCGTCTAACGCTTATCGCCCTGATTCTCAGCTCATGGCTACCGAAATTTTGAAATTTCGAACTCAACAAGGAAGTTATCTCATGGCACGTGCATTGTTAGATTCTTGTTCAAACGCTAACTTGATGACTCAAAATTTCCTTGATCGCTTACAATTAACAACTAAACAATGTTTCGTTAATATTGGAGCAGTTGACGATTCGAGCACTGTTTTAGAAAAATATACTATAGCTACCTTTTTTTCTACTTACAACAATACAGAACACAATTTAAATTTCTTGATAGTACCTACAATAGTTGATAAAGTGCCCAATGAGACTTTTCCTCGAGAAAGGTTCAATATTCCAAAAAATATAAACTTGGCCGATCCGCAATTTCACGCGCCGCGATCTGTCGATGTTTTATTAGCATCTGGTCCCACAATAGCTTCTTTGGAAATAGGCCAGATAAACTTAACTAGTAGTAGTTCCATGACCACTCTCCAAAAAACCTCGTTTGGTTGGATAGTCGCTGGAGGTTCAGACGTCAATGGGCCTCTCGATTCCATCTCGTGTAAGGTCGTAAAATTGGATCAGCTGTTCGAGAGATTCCTCACCATCGAAGACCTGGATTACCATCCTGTTAAATCTCGCGACGACGTGGTTTGCGAGGAACACTACGTTCAAACTGCCACCAGGGACGAGTCAGATCGTTACGTCGTTCGATTGCCGTTCCGCCTCGAGAAATTTGAATTAGGTTCCTCCAAACAGCAAGCGTTAAGCAGATTCCACGCCCTGGAGAGGAAGTTCAAGGCGAACCCTGCATTCCAGGCCGAGTACGAGAAGGAGCTCAATGGATACCTAGAGCTCCGTCACATGACTCTGCTAGAGGTAGACGACGAAGACGGGTACTATCTCCCTCATCATGCGGTTATCAAAGAGTCTAGCGATACCACGAAGTGTAGGGTAGTCTTTGATGCATCCGCAAAAACCTCCACCGGAATTTCGTTGAACGATTCCTTGTTGACAGGGCCTACCATTCAGCCGAAACTTCAAGAACAACTCGTTCAGTTAAGGTCTCATTTGTTCGCCGAAACTGCAGACATCGAGAAGATGTACCGCCAGGTGTTGATGCATCCAGAGGACCGGAAGTTCCAGAAAATCCTGTGGTACCATGAGGGTGAAATTCGTACTTTCGTTCTGAACACCGTGACTTTCGGCGTTAAATGCGCTCCCTTTCTAGCTATTCGAACGCTGGTTCAGCTCGCTCTCGACGAAGAAGCCGACTTTCCGCGGGCTTCGATTCTCCTTCGCCGCGACTTCTATGTCGATGATTTCCTTTCAGGTGCAGACACGCTGGAGGAACTCCTTGCCATCCGAGACGAGATGATCCAGCTGCTGGCGAGAGGAGGTTTCACCATTCGCAAATGGGCCTCTAACCATCCATCAGCGTTAGACAACATCGATAAAAAGATTTTTGATTTGGATTGCGGAATCCAAGGCAATCCCATCAAAAAGACTCTTGGGATCGTCTGGGATTCTCAACGCGATACTTTCATGTATTCGGTTGATCTCGAAGATCCGAAACTCGTTAAAACTAAGAGGAGGCTGCTTTCCCAAATTTCAAAAATCTTCGATCCCTTAGGTTTAATCGGACCTCTAGTTCTCTTCACTAAAGGCTTGATGTCAGATTGTCATAAGGCAAAAATTACTTGGGACGAGTCGCTTCCTCAGGACATTTATACAAAGTGGGTCGCGTTAGCCGAACAACTTCCCCAATTGACAAAATTTTCTGTACCTTGAAGCTTAAGATGCGCAAACCCAATTTCTACTCAAATACACGGGTTTTGCGATGCGTCCATGAACGGATACGGTGCGTGCTTATACATCCGCTCTGTCGATGCGTTAGGCGAGGTCACCGTGAGACTGGTCTGCAGTAAAAATAAAGGCCCATCTTTAAGTCAACACACGATTCCTCGACTTGAATTAGCTGGAGCATCACTCCTAAAAACATTGTATTTTGAGACAAGAGATCAGTTGTATTCTCCGGTCGATCGGGTAGTTTTCTGGTCAGACTCAACAATCGTTCTTTGTTGGTTAAAAAAGGCTCCGCACTTATTGAGAACGTTCGAAGCCAATCGAGTAGCTGATATTCAAAAACTAGGCAACAAGGCTGAATGGAGACATGTCGGTTCAAAGGACAATCCAGCTGATCCGTTGTCGCGCGGACTATTACCCGGCGATCTCATACGTAGTACCCTCTGGAAATCAGGCCCCGAGTGGCTTAGCCTCACCGACGAGCAGTGGCCTCCGACGCCGCAATCCGTTTCGAACAACCCTCCTCATGCGGGGGACGGACTCGTTCTCCTCACCCATACTTCAGCTAGCAGTATTTACGCCCGATTCTCAGATTACGGCTGTCTTCTTAGGTCGGTAGCGTAACTCTTGCGTTGGAAAAACGAGGGAACTCCGTCGGGCGACTTAGATCAAGTAGCTCGATCAAAGGCAGGCGTCCGTTATTTATCATCATCCGAAATAGCAACCGCAGAGCGCTGGATTCTCCTTATGATTCAAAGCGAAAGCTTCGGTCCCGAATTTAACATTCTCTCGGCCGCGCAAAAACCCAATGTAGTAAATGTTAAAGGTTCATTCAAACGTCAAACTAAGTTTGGCGAACTCAATCCATTCCTAGGTAGTGACGGTTTAATCAGAATGGGGGGACGTTTAAAGAAATCGGATTTGTTTTTCAATCAAAAACATCCTGTCTTACTTCCCAGCAATCATCACGTTTCCGATCTTATCATCCGTGATGCTCACGAGCGTAATCTTCATGGAGGGGTCCAAGCAACTCTCTATACCATACGTGAGCGATTTTGGATTCTCAACTGTAGGAACCAAGTTCGACACGTTGTCCATCGATGCGTTCCCTGTATTCGTCAGAAACCCAAATTCGCGCATGCGAAAATGGCGGATTTACCTGAGTCCCGCGTCATCGGCGCTTTCCCATTCAATCACACGGGAGTTGATTTTTTTGGCCCAATTTTAATCAAGGAAAAGAAAGATCGGAATCGAAGCTTCATCAAAGCTTATGGTTGTGTTTTCGTATGTATGGCCTCTAAGGCAGTCCACATCGAGCTCGCTTCCGATCTTTCGACAGAAGCGTTTTTGGCATGTTTTGATCGATTCATGTCAATACGAGGAATACCAGAACGAATATATTCCGATAACGGTACAAATTTTGTGGGCGCGAATAACGAACTGCAAAAAATTTACGATTTGCACGGGACGCCGGAATTCAAAGACGCCATTCAAGGTCACGCCGCGTCCAATAGAATCGACTGGCATTTTAATCCACCTCTCTCTCCGCATTTCGGCGGATTATGGGAGGCTGCAGTTAAAAGTTTTAAACATCACCTTCACCGTGTTATTAAAGATCGAAAGCTAACGTACGAGCAATTAGATACGCTTCTAAAACAGATAGCGGCAATTCTTAATTCTCGACCCTTGTATTACATTTCCGCTGATCCAAACGATCCGCTTGCAATAACTCCCGCGCATTTGTTGATTGGTCGTCCGTTCCGATTCTTACCCGAGCCCGATTTTGTTTCAGTTCCTGACAACCGGCTACGCACGTACCAAATCATACAAAAGGCCAGACAGGATTTCTGGAAGAAGTGGCAAAAAGAGTATTTGCACGAGCTCCAAACTCGACAAAAATGGTTGACCTCCAACACGACCTTAACACCCGGGTCCGTGGTCTTGTTGATGGAGGACAATCCTGCGTGTGCGAGATGGTCGCTGGGTGTGGTCGAAGAGGTTCACCCTGGGAGCGATGGCATTGCTAGGGTAGCAACAGTCAAGACGGCCTCGGGAGTCTACAAGCGAAACATCACGCGGCTTTGTATCTTACCAGTAGCTCAGGATGATACGCTCGCGTCGGAGTCTCAACAAGACCCCCCATAGTGATCGTTTGTTGCGCTCTGAATGTGCGCGATCGGGTTTGCCAAAAACGAGTTGAACCTTATCGTATTTCAGGAATGCGAATTGAAGCCTGGTCCGAGAAGGGTGGAATCGGGATGTTCCACAGCCAGAAGCCAAGAATCATGCCGAGAGGGTGATTCTTGTGTCGGGGTAGGTAGTCGGGAAACTGAGTCTCTGTTGAGATTTCGACAGTGTGGCTGTCATGCGAATTGTGAATTAGTGAATTACTTAAAAATTGCGTCCTTCGAAGACCTTGTCTAGGTTTAGTGTTGTTACCAAAATTAAGCGAGTTCTTAAATTTAAGTTTTTATGTTCATGTTATTAATTGATAAACCTATCTGCTGTGATATCGTTGCTAATCAACAAGACAGTCCCTCCAACGGAAACTGATCTTCTTGCGATTCAATCGCGCGTTAAAGTTTTTTAGTTAAGATAAACACTTGATTGTGATACTGATGCGTGATAATCAAACGGGCAGTCCCTCCAACGGAAACTGACCTTCTTTAAGGCTTACTGAACCAAAAACTAGATTAAAATCATTGTAAATACTAATGTACATACTAAATACTAATTATAATCAATACGTGTTAAGTCTAACCCTACTCTATCGTTGTAATATCAACTAATCTCGCAGCCCCGGCCGGCAGTATGTTACGGCGCAACATTTACCTAAATGCAAACCGTGCATTTAGGTGATAAAACGAACTCTCGCGCCTGCGCGCGCAAGTGCGTATGAATGGATGGTGGCAGCACCTGTTGGCTCGCGCGCGAACCGTGCCGAGCCGCGGGCTCGCTTCCGCCACGACCGCCAGTAGTCGACTGCGACGCGACGAGTGCGGCAGCAGTTCTCCGACGCGACTCTTATGAGTACCCACGTACGGTAAAAATCTTGTCTTCGTTCTCTCGGACGCGAAACGACTGTACTCACGTACGGTCACCGTGCTTCCTTAGCACCTCAAAACTCGTCACTCACGTGGCAAAAGTGTGTGAAATTCAGCGAGCTCGTTGAGTGCGGTGTGGAGTGTGTGTGTGTGTTCGGCCACTCACGAGCGGCGTTTCGCGTTCGCGACCTCGCGCCTTTGTTCTCGCGCGATCAAGTTTTCTTCGCCCTTTTCTGTACCTTTCTTGTAATCCTTAGTGTGAGTGCTTTAATAAAAGGGTTTTTCTGCCTTATGGATTTTCCCTGTACGTTACGCATTAAATTTATTAACCTCGATTCATTTCTCGTGCGCATTCAAATAAAAATAAAATCACGAGATTGTAAAAATTCAAAAAGCATAAAATCAAAAACGTAAACTCAACAAAGGAAATTTTAACTAAGCTGGCTTGGCGCTAACCAACCAGCACGCGATATTTCAGGGTTTAAGGATATGAGAAAGCGTTCGAATATGAGATTTTTTATGAAAAAAATGAATTTTTTGGTAGGCCAATAGAGATAAGATCATCAATAAGGATATCGGGCATTACATCGTTGAATGCTCCTTTTATATCCAGGAACAATGTAGCAAGGCTCTTTTTTTTTTAGAATGCTTCGTGAATCTCAGTTACAAGGATTGATAAATCAGCACAAGACTTTCCTTTACGAAAGCCATATTGCGATTCTGCGTAAAAACCGTTATTTTCAAGCTAGAATATGAGACGTGTATTGACCATTCTTTCGAATGTTTTTAAAATACACGATGCCATAGATACGGGTCGAACCTTATCCCTTGTTACTCTTAGGGATAAAAGTAATCAAATACCGTTTCCAATCTTCTGGAAAATCGCATTGACTATAAAAGTCGTTAAATAAATCTAATAATAACCGTTTATAGATTTCTGGGAGCGCCATTATAAGCTCATAACTAATTTTGTCCGAACCAGGAGCTGATTTCAGATTAACCAAATGGAGCACTGATTCTAATTCTTCAAAAGAGAATGGTCGGTCCATGAAGTGATCGTCATTATCGCTAGAAAATTTAGATTCAATGTATTCGGAAATGTCACCTGTAGAACAAAGTTTTGTGTTTTTGGGAGTACATAAATCATCGAGACAGTCTTTGGCGTTAAGCAGTGCTGATTGGTTTGCGTTTAAAGATATAGGTCTTTCCATGCCGTTTTTAAATGCTTTAACTTTTTTCCAAACGTTGGAGATTCCAATATTGCGATTGATTGAGTTGCAAAAATCTTTAAAAGAATTTTTCTTTTCATCTTTAAGTGTTCTGATAGTTAGAGCCTCTAATTGTTTATGTTTAATAAAAGGTTCATAATTGTATCGATATTGAATTGACCTGAATGACGCATTGGCGCTTTCTATCTATTTTTTCACACACTTCGTTCCACCAGATATAGTTATTTCTCATCTTACGTCTATGACACTTTTTATTATTACCGGTGGGTTTTTTCCTAGTGTCGGATACGTCTAAGGCTCTGTATAACAGACCTAAAAATAGTGTGTATCGTTCTAAGGCTGCAGAATTATTAAAATTCATATTGATAAAAGGACCTCGCACAAACCTTATGGAAAAAAACTTTCTGTCAAATGTTCCTAAAATTTGGGAGAAGGTAGCTAATATCATGTAGATTAAATGTCTACATGGGTCCAAAGCTCGCCTATGGCTGGGTTCCGAGATACTAGGGTTCAAACACAGGCAAAACGACGGTTTTCTGGATCACGGTTATTGACTTTATTTTCATGTTGTTTAACTCACAGACACGCACACACTCATGCGTGGTATATTTTATATATATATATATACGAGGTGTGATCAAAAAGTAAGGTGAATTTTTATTTTTCTCAAAAAATATTTATTTATTCATCAATTTTTATTTTATCTCCTTCAAAGTAATCCCCCTCGGATATAATGCACTTGTGCCAACGCTTTTTCCAATCCTCAAAGCAATTCAAAAAATCATTTTTTGTGATCTTGTTTAGTTCATGCTTCGATGCCGTCTTTATCTCCTCAATCGTGGCAAAACGCCGTCCTTTCATGGGCCTCTTCAGTTTTGGGAACAAGAAGAAGTCACAGGGGGCCAGATCTGAGGAATACGGTGCCTGTGGCATCGTTACTGTGTTGGTTTTAGCAAAAAATTCACGCACAAGCAACGATGTGTAAGCAAGGGCGTTAACATGGTGCAAAAGCCAATTTTTATTTTTCCACAAATTCGGACATTTCTGGCGGATTGCTTCGCGCAAATTGCGCATAACTTGCAGGTAATATTCCTTATTTACTGTTCTACCCTGTGGCAAGAACTTATGATGCACCACGCCCCTGCAGTCAAAGAAAACTGTAAGCAAAACCTTTACATTTGATCGAACTTGGCGTGCTTTTTTTGGTCTTGGTGATCCAGAATGCCTCCACTGGGACGATTGAGTCTTAGTCTCGACGTCATAACCGTATACCCATGTTTCGTCACCTGTTATAACCCTGTTGAGTAAATCTGGATCATCGTTGACGTCATTCAGTAACTCTTGGGCGATGCTCATGCGACGTTTCTTTTGGTCGAAATTGAGCAATTTCGGAACAAACTTCGCTGACACACGTCTCATGTCTAAAACACTCGTCAAAATTGATTGGCACGAACCAAATAAGATGCCAATATCATCAGCAATTTCTCTAATGGTAATTCGACGATTTCCCAACACTATTTTCTTCACTTCTTCAACATTCTCATCAGTTGTTGATGTGCTGGGGCGTCCAGAACGAGGTTCGTCGTCCGTGTCTTCTCGGCCTTCTTGGAAGAGTTTATACCACTTGTAAACATTTTTATGGCTTAAAGTAGACTCACCGTATGGCACTTTCAGCATTTCAAGTGTTTTGGAACATTTGATTCCATTTTTCACACAAAATTTAATGCAAACTCTTTGATCCATGTTTTTAGACAGCAGCAAATCGTGGAGCACGCAAAACACTTCTAACCTTGATGCCTCTCACAAACAAACCAAACATACTACAAAGCTGAAATTTGGAACGTATGTTCTAGACAAGTGTACCGACATAACCAAATAAAAAAGTCGAAGATCGAACGGACGTAGCCCGCTAAATTTCAAAATTCACCTTACTTTTTGATCACACCTCGTATATATAGTATGTCTAGCGACGGTGCCGGTGGTGGTTCCGTGGGGCCGCTCGGCAGGGGGCCGTGTCTACATCCAATTATTATATATATATATATATAGATAGATATTTTTTTTCATTTCTATAGTCCACCCTATTCAGCCATTATGTAAATCAGGATCTATTATTTCAATACCATTCGGGTTGCCTATATCCAGCTGTTTGTTCATTACAGTATGTAAAAGACGTAGTGAAAAGCGATCCACAATTGATATCTAGTAGCATTTCTGAAACGCGAAAACAGCCGGATTCTTGTCAATCCCGGTTCATTTGCATTGGTGTCAATTTAAAACGTCATATCTTTTTGCTAGTCATCTTCATCTCAGTTAGCTGTTTGGTGTTGCTTCAATAGTCCTTTTCAGGATAATTGGAGTTCCATTGCAGTTGGCTGGTCGGTGTTGCTTCAATAGTCCTTTTCAGGATAAGTGGAGTTTCATTGCAGTTGGCTGGTCGGTGTTGCTTCAATAGTCCTTTTCATGACAATTGGAGTTCCATTGCAGTTGGCTGGTCGGTGTTGCTTCAATAGTCCTTTTCATGACAATTGGAGTTCCATTGCAGTTGGCTGGTCGGTGTTGCTTCAATAGTCCTTTTCAGGATAATTGGAGTTCCATTGCAGTTGGCTGGTCGGTGTTGCTTCAATAGTCCTTTTCAGGATAATTGGAGTTCCATTGCAGTTAGCTGGTCGGTCTTGCTTCAATAGTCCTTTTCAGGATAATTGGAGTTCCATTGCAGTTGGCTGGTCGGTGTTGCTTCAACAGTCCTTTTCAGGATAGTTGAAGCTCAGTCGCAGTTGGGGGTGATTGTTCTTCAACAGTCCGTTTCAGGATAGTTGAAGCTCAGTCGCAGTTGGGGGTGATTGTTCCTTCATCATTTGTATAGCAGGGA